GTTCTAGGTCAAACTGGTTTGTTCGACTTTCAAGAAATTCTAGTTCTAGTGAGTTCGAGGACCGAGGTACCACTGTATGATTTACCGACAACAATGTACAAATGTTATTTTGTCAGCAATTGTGTAACTATTTTAAAATAATAATTAAATATAAGACATGAAAGTCAGTTCTGCATTCCAAGGGAGACTACCATATGGCTACTTAATTAAGGCTACATAAATTGATATACAGTTCCTTTTAAAATGAATGAGGAGTAACGAAGTTGTGTTATGGACTGTGCAAATTCACCTTTCAAACGCTAGATGGCGATGTTTATTTTCCTTTTATTGTAAGATTACGGATACACCGAAAAAGAAGAGGAGCAGGAAGTAGGAAATAGACGCTGATTTTTGGTGTCATGGAGACGGTTGATTACTATGGTTGTTTGGATCTATGCAAGAGAACTTAAAATAAGTAACATAAGTTATTAATTACTGGTGATGCATTTAAAGCATCACTCGTTTATTTCTCAGCCGCTGTTTTTATAGAAGGCCATATTCGTTGGTTTTTTATTAAAAAAACAGCTCTCAATATGTTATTAAGCAAAATGGAGTGTTTAACAATAGTTAGAAACATTAAATGAGTTTTTTTTTCCTGAATAGGTTTTTTGATAATTAATTTTCTCTCCAATAAATGGCGACTTGGCTTTGGTGTAACGTGGTGCCGTTTTCTGCGGTTTTGATTGCGAATTGGTTCGGGACTGTTGTTTTGCAGACGACGTTTTCTGAACCTAGGAATTCGACGGGATTTCCATGGCCGGCCGAGGACTCCGTTAACTTTACAGCCACGGATACCACTTTCACGACTTATACTGCAACCCCTGAGACAATGTCTGCGACGAGTGCACAACCAAATTCAACTCTTGCCGATGGCAACACTAACTCTACATTATTACCAACTGATAACATTACAAATTCTACATTAATGTCAACTGATGCCACCACAAATGAGACATTACTAACTGAGGTCGCTGCAGGTTCTACGTTAATACCGAGTGACGCTACCACAGATGCCGGATTAATAACAACTGATGTTCCCATAAAGAGAACTATAGGTGCAACTTAACTTTTGTATCACATTGATTATTTAGTACATTTCTTTGCGGTCAGACAGCATGCATATTCTGTTTAATTGTTTCCTCCTTTTCAGGCTGTTCATGTGATATTAGCCCACAGTTTTGTGATATTGGTTGCTGCTGTGATTTTATCGACTGTGGTGTCAGTGACCTGAATACGGTCTTCAGTGGCTGTGAGACTGTGGAGAGGTGAGATGACAGTGGATGGTGATAGCTAAACAGCATGCATGTGTGTGTTTGCCAAGTAAATGAAACTATGAAAATGTTTAATTTCATCAATTGCATTAATGGCATATTAAAATTAGCATGATCCTGGTATGCTGGCTTTATGTTAGAATTGAGTGCATTTAAAGTTTTAGCATGTGCTGGTCTGTTTGAAAGCTGTTGGATTGTTTTACAGTTATGCTGTGTGCATTGAGAGTTGGCTGATGTTCAGAGGGAATGTTGACCCCAGCCTCATAGCTGTGAATGAAACTTTCTTCTGTGTAAAAAGTCTAGAAGGTAAACCTGTCTGTTTTTCAATAATGATTTGTTTACTGCTTTTATATCTCAGTTCTGTAGTGTAATATAAGCTGTCCAACAATCTCAGCGCCAGTCTCCTTTTTAAATATAATAATACTTCTGTTTCCTGCAAAATCCTCAATGCAGATAACCTGACAATCCAGCAGAGTCGTCCTGCTCTTTCATGGCTCCCAGAGATACAGGATTTCTACTCATTCGCTGAACATAGAGTTCAGTCTTCCAGCCCTGCAGCTAGAGCTTTCTACAAGGTGGGGCACTATGTCTGCATTTTTGTCACAATCATTGTGATTGCAGTTATAGCATATGTAGCTTGGTCACTGTGCTATATTAACACACATTAATCTACATCTCTCTGTCCCAGGCTGATGATGTCATCTTAACCTATTACAATAGCTCATCATTATTGGGTGTATTCAGACAGCCATCACCAGGAGCAGGCACTGATTCGTGTGTGGACTGGAACCCTGGGAGTAAGATTTTCTAATATTTGGATTGCAGCATACTATAATGTTATTTCTCATTTGACTTTGCATGTTCAAAAAGAAACAAAACAAAAAGGATCCTTTTCTAGTTGTTAAAATAGCTTCTTTAGATTATAATGTCATATTTTTAATTGTATTCCATCTTGTATGTCAAATACTGAATTTAAGGCATATACAACACTTAAAATTATGGTTTGGTAATTCTATAACCAGTGGAACCCTCAACCATCACACACATAGTCAAAGTGCCTGTTGAATTCCAGTTGCTTAACTAATAGCTTCTACAGTCAGATGGTCTTACAGCATAATCATTATGTTGGCTTGATCTGCAGATGTTTAAGTACAGATTTGCATGCTTCATTTGCAAAAATTTGAGGAAAAAAAAAATAGAAATTAAATTTTGCAGTTAATGCCTGCCCATATTCCCTAAACATTTTGGAGCAGGGTAAACTTCATGTTACTTGCATTGGATGACAGATGTTTTGAATTCACCATCTATTTATTTATGTTTGAATGACAGGATTCCTGCGCTCCCTCTCTTTCTCCTGTTCCCGCTCCCTGACTGCACAGAGCTGTCTCACAGACCCCAGTCTTAATGCCCGCTCTTACTTCTCTGGAATCAGTCTGCTAAAGGTCTGTGGCTCTGATTCAATGAATGTGCTGACTTGTCATATGATTGTGCTTTTGTCTTGGTGCCACATGGTCTTGTATTGTGCCAGAACTGATAGTTTTATTATTTGTATCAGTCATTAAAATTGACTTAGGTGTGAGGTATTTTCAAAGTATAGTTCCAAAATTGTAATGGTATACAAATCCCATCACTTAACTGTTTTTGCACCAAAGACAACATTCACAAATTCCTTGTTCCCAGTTATTTCCTGTTTTCTTATCACTCAGTTGCAGTGAATGTACTCCAGATCCTTGCAGAGAGCTGATGAAGAGTCCCCTTGTGTATTTTAGTTTCTACATATTAAAATAGTTGAGATCAGGATGGATGATATTGTCAGATGTTAATAAACCTGGCTCAAAAAGAGTTGAATACCTGTGGCAAATGATAAAAGTATTGAAGAGTCTGCAGTAACTGTAGGCTGCCTGCAATATAAATTGTCATTAGAGGAGAAGAGAATTTTTAAATTCAACATATTCCATTAGTTTTAGCAAGAAGGAATGTTGCATAATGTATATTTTCATTATTTTATTTGACTCCTTTAAAAGTTTTATTTATGTATTAGAAGACATAATATGTCAGGAATGAGATGAAATTTGCTAAGAAGTGGTCACTTAAAAATTCTTATTACTAAGACATTGAGACACTAGGCAAGCAGAAAGACTAAAATTCTACTTACACTACTACTTACAGTTGCATCGCAATCTGATGTGTTTCTCAGGATACCATGAGACATGCGGCTGGCGATGGTTACATCACCGCAATACATTTTGCATTGTTCATAGCTGTACAGTTCCTCAGGGTCTTCATAGAGAAAATTCATGACCACAAGCATTCATTAGTTATCTCTTTTGCATTAGTAGAAGAAAAAGGTTCACAGGTTCATTGGCTGCTTGACATGAGCATGAAGTATTTTTAGGTTTTTCAGGACTGGTTTCTCTTGTTCACAGCCTTTTCTGGCAGTGCCATGTCATGCATCTAACAGTGATTTGTGTTGCAGGCCCCATTCTCTCAGAACGTCTCCCTCCATGGATTTACAGTAAGACTGAACATTACAAATGAAGTCTTTGTTTCAGAATAAATGACTTTGGGTTTTACGCATCTGTTGACTCTCTTGTGTTTAGATACCAGTTGTTCCACTGTCAGAATGGCCAGAACCAAGCATCCAGAATGGTTCCTGTTTGAACGTGGTATCAAAGGTTAGTTAACATCAGTATTATTTTAATAAACGAATAAAAAACATTGTTGACAGATAACTGTCTACATACGTATAATGATATACACTCACCTAAAGGATTATTAGGAACATAAGAATATAAGAACTATACAAACGAGAGGAG